CCTCTGGGTTCTGGCTCTCCCAGCCATTGCCTCCTCTGCTCCATTCCTTGCCAGTCACCTGTCACCCAGCAGCAACTCCTGCCAAACGTAGAAGATAACTCCCTCCTTCTGTCTACCTGCTGTGGCTTCTTTTATACTGAACCCAATGTGCCCACTTGCAGGTGCTTCTAAGGAATTTTAACCTTGTTTTTCCTTTCTCTGCAAGTGTCTAAGCTGGGCAGCTGACAGACCACTGCAGAGAAAAAAACTATGATCTTGATAGTTACATGTAACATTTTTGTTTTAGGGCAGATTATCATTCCACAAGGAGGCTGACTGAGAATGGAAGAGACCACCTTGAAGAAGGTACTAGTGAAACAAAGAACAGAGACCAATGAGAAAATAAACTGCAGTGGAAAAAATAACATCTCACCAAGCAGGTATGTAACTTATTTGTTACCAACATATGGTCTCTGCCTCTAATGTAAGTGCTAAGATCTTGCTGCTTTCATGTATGATTTACTTTAGAAGTAAAACCTGTTGAACTCAATAGGACTTATTTTAAACTGAATTTGCATAGGATGGGATTTCAAAACTCATTCAAGAATACTATCCTGGGTGGCATATTCAGAACACGAAGATTATTAGCCAACTCCAAATGTCTGATTAAAAGTCATGGCTATATATAAAATGCTTTCAAAATTAATGGATATATCAAAGAGTTTTTGTGAGTCAACCCACTTCATCAATTTTATTGTAGCTTTTCAGAAGCAGTGTTATAAAAATATAACTTTATAACATTTGGAGGAGAAAGTGTCTTTGGAAAAGCAGATACCAATGGAGAATTTTTGTCAGAGAAGCAATTTCCATAAATACACAATGCAACCTAGAGTCACCCCATAGTGAGATGGGCGGTGACAAATTTGAAATATAAATAAATAAATATAAACCTTCTGTGAAGGGTCTAGTATTAACACATCTGATTCCTCTTTCTGTTGATAACTGTTTTTCTATTCTATTTCCTGCAGGAAGATTTATCTGGATTACAATGCAACCACCCCTCTGGCACCAGAAGTGATTGAGACAGTTAAAGAAGCAATGCATGAAGCATGGGGAAATCCTAGCAGTTCTTATGAAGCAGGTCTGATCAAGATTGTATGGAAGTGTTTTGTGAGAGCATCTTTGTGGGATACAGGCATGTCTCTTGGTACAGTAGGGTTCCAATCTTGAACAGTTATTGGTATAGTAGTTAAGGATTTAGCAGAAGAATCAAATGTTGAGTGGTGAATCATTATTACAGCCTCCAGTCACTCCTAGTAGTAACTTTGGAAAATAAAGGTAGCTCCAGTAACATTTAGATCTAAATGTTTGCTGTGAAATTACATGTACATGCTCATGTAATACTGCATTTTTCCATTTTAAAAAATAATGGCTCTGCTGCTTGGAAAAGATGGTAGGATAGCATCAAGAGATGGGAGAGAAGGCAGAGTTCTTCAAAATCTTAATTTGCTTAGGTCTTTTCCAAAGGGGAATTGTGTTCAAATGGACTTAAGCAGAAGAACTGATGCAAGGAGAATGTACAAAGATTATTAGGAAGCATCCATTTCCAGGACCAGATCAGTTGTATCTGAGAGTCTTAAAGCAGCTTGTGGGTGTTATTCTTGGAGCTCTTCTTTGATCTTTGAGGGATAATGGAGGACAAGTGTAGTGCCACAGGAGTGGAGAAGGATTAATGTTCCTTTCTTCAAAAGGACATGGGGAAGGGAATCTAGGTAATGAGACACTGATCAGTTTGACATCAAACAGAACTCCAAAACAGATTATTAAGCAATGGATAATGTATTGCTTGGCAGAAACCACCATAGATATATCAAGAGCAGGTGATGCCATACCAACTTTATTTCCTTTTTTGATAAAGTGACCAGTTTGGTGAACCACAGGAATAGGGTGATGTAGTATAGGTTGAATTCAGTAAAGTCTGCCATGATATCTTTGTGGAGATGAGCTAAAATGTGCTATCATTAGAATGGGACACAAAGCTGATTGAACAATCAGACCCAAAAATTGTAAAACCATGGCTCTGTAGCAAACTGTAAGGAAGTGTTGAATGACATACTGCAGTACTCTGTTCTATAGATAAGAGGGATAACAAACACTGTGGAGGACAGTATCATTCAGGAGGATTTTGACAACTTGGAGCAATGGACAGAAACTGGCAAGTTGAATTTTAATAAGTAAAAATGCAAAGTCCTTCATTTGAGAAGGAAAAATCAAAGTCTTGAGTATACATTGGGGGGAATATACTGGACAGCACTAACATGAAAAGAATTTGGGTGTCTTGGTGAGCAGAATTTGAATGTGAGCAAAGGTGTGATCCATCTGCAAAGAAAGAACAAATGCAGTACTAGGCTGCATCAACAAACATATAGTGTCAAGATCAAGAGAAGTCATTGTTCCTCTCTGTTCATGTTGTCAGCGTATACCTAAAATATTGTATAAAGTTCTGGGTATCGCATTTTAGGAAAAAAAATTATGAGCTGAAACAAGTTGATAAGGGGTTTGTAAGGAAAAACGAGGAATGCATGGAAGCATTGGTAAGTTTGGCCTAGAGAAGAGAAACTACACGGAGAGACATGATAGCTGTCAAATATCTGAAGTGTTGTCAAGTATTAAGATAGAATTGTTCCAAGTTCTAGAAGACTGGACAAGAAAGAATGTGCTAAGGAAATGGATTTCAGTTGGACATCAAGAAAAAAAAAATAATGGTAGAAGCTGTTACAATGGAATAGTCTGCCTCAGGAGTTGGTTGGCTTTCCTCTAGAGAGATTTATTCAGAGACTGGATGCCCAGAAAGCTGTAGTAGTAGATTCCTGCACTGAGCATTAACCACAACGCTGGGTTCACATGTTAACATGTTAAGCCAAAGCCAAAAAAACTATATTGTGCCTTACCATATTGTATGAAAGCCATCAGTGTATACAGGAATGGGAGTTTAAGAGGGGAAAAATGATAAAGGAACAGATTTGTTGGTGGTTAAAGCAACAAAAGATTTATATTTATAAGCCTAGAATAGATGTGGTTTATTTTATAGGATGCAAGATATTAAAAGTAATACAAATGAAATTATATCAGTGATATCTAGAAACTTAATTATGTGACATCAAGTCAGTAATTGACTCTTAGTGATGACATAAATAGATTTTCAAGATAATCTGTCCCCAACCTTGTCATCCAGCTCTTCCAGTACACATTGCTGTGTGTCCTCCTCTTTTTCTCCTTCCTTCCATCTTGCCCGGCATTATCAACTTCTCAAGAGAGTTAGGTCTTCACATAATTTGTTCAAAATATGATAATTTGGACCTGGTCATTTGTGCCTCAGTTCAACTCTGGGTTGATTTATTCAATGGTTAGAATCTTTACAGACTCTTCTTTAGTTGCTTGCCATATTTCTGTAGACATTCCATCAATTCCTGTAACTTTCTGACTAGGCAGTGCCCAGAATGTTGATCTAATGTCAACTTCCAATACTAGAGGTTCTTGTAAATAGGGAATATCGTCTAAGGCATCTTGGATGTTAACATCTCTACTGTACAGAATTTCATTATGCTCCTTTCAAGGATTGATGGACATGTGGGTGATCATGAATCCTCAGTCAAATGGATTCATATATTAGTTGAATAGACATATACCCCATTCAAAATTATATTACAAATGAGTATCTAAATCAGTAGTAGGTGTAATCCAACAAGTAATAATAGCACCTGTTCATACATATGATCATACCTCAAGTGATCCTAGAATTAAAATTAGAAAATACTGCCCTTTTTGATATTTTGATGACTGAACACAATGTTATTGACTACCGCATCAGTGAACAAATCATCTTACTCCTTAAGTATTTTTTTCAAAGAAAATAATATAAAACAAACATCCCCATTAATAAGATGGGAAACAGTGAAAGTTTTAGTTAGAGGAGCATAATTAAAAAGGAAAATCCATATTTTTCAGACAAATTAGATTTTAAAATTAAAGTTTTGTTAGTGAAATATAAAACAGGTTTCTCAAAGGTCTATAAACAGAACTGCAAATGAAATAATTAAATATTCTAGAGACTAATTAAAATTTTATCCTATTTTGTTTTATTTTATAAAATTAATTTTTAATTTTATTCTATATTCAAAGGAAAAATATTTTGATAATAAGAACTTTATATTATTTGCAAATAATTTTTAAAAGTCAGGTATAACATTTTATAACATCAATACAAGATCCTAAAGGTCAAACAATCATTAACACTAGCAATATTGACACTGAGTTTTCAACAGTCTTTAGATCATTACATACATCTAAAAATCCAACATCAGAAGACATGAAGAATTATTTGGAGTTACCAGTGTTGTTAACATAAGATATTCAGTGCCTAGACTTGTGCGTGCGCATGCACTCCTTCAAGTTAGTGCTGACTCCTGGCAACTGCCTGGACAAGTCTCTAGTTTTCTTGGCAAGATTTCAGAAGTGGTTTGCCATTGCCTTCTTCCTAGGACTGAGTGAGTGACTGGCCCAAAGTCACACAGCTGGCTTTGCGCCTAAGGCAGGACTAGAACTCACAGTGTCCCAGTTTCTTGCCTTGTGCCTTAACCACTATACCAAACTGGGTCTCTAGACTCATTTACAGAATCAGAATTAATACTGTAGCAGTCTTCCAAAATTTTTAAAGAGAAATCACATGGCCCAGATGATTTTACCAGGAAGTTCTATAAAGGATTTAAGGATATTTTAATTCAGAATTTTTACAAATATGTAATTTATTCACCAAGTGAGAACCTTCTCCTTAGTAGTAAAGATCTAAAATTACACTTATTTTAAAGCAAGGAAATAATCCACAGGAGGTTACTTCATATAGGCCTACTTCATTGATGTTTGGCTATTTTACCCTTGGGTAAAATGGAGGTAAGCACTTACAGCACTACCTGCTGAGAAGTATGGTACAGTACTATTGCACAATTCTAATAGACCACTGGCATAGTGCTGCTGTAGCCAGCTCTTTAGAGAAACAGCGGAATGGTAGCAAATAAGGCTAGTCTGGAACTGGAAAGGAGAGGTGTGCTCACATCAATCTGGAACAGTGCTTCGCTGATCCCCCCACTACTTGTCACTTGACTTTTTCATTTCCTGTGTGAGAGAGCTAAGACGTACATGCGTGCACACACACAAATACTCCAAGGAGATATTCAGCAATCTCTCAAAATAAGTACATAAAACTAGTTAAACCATCAGCCCCACCTGGTGTTCACAGTCCAAAGCAGCAGTCTTTACAGAATAGCTGTCGTCTTAGCATCTTGCAGCCATCACTGGGATGTTATAAAGCCTAGCCTCACCTCATTGTTTTGGTACAACAATGGTTGGGTAACTTTTAGAGCTGTAAGTTATGTTTTGCCTCCAAAACGGTGGATGGAGAAGTAGCATTTTATCACACCTTGTTGCTGCTGTTGAATGTTGTCTACTTAAGGAGAAAATGCCACTTTAACACTGGTAGAGCTGAGGTTGACTTAAGCCTGTCTCACTCATGGACTGGAGAATGAGATGAAGATAACTTCATGGGGACAGGTCAGAAAAAAAGGTGGTGCCAGGACATCTCTGTGCCGTGGTTAGGTGCAGTTGGGGAAGAAGCCCCTAATTAAAATGCACACGCCTTTAGTGTGAGGAACAGAAAACCCCGGATCTACCTCATATGATCAGTTTTTGTGCCTTGCTCTCACAGGTCAAAGAGCAAAGAAGATCATAAATGAAGCTCGTGAAAGTCTGGCTAAGATGGTGGGAGGACGGTTCCAGGATATTATCTTCACTTCTGGAGGGACAGAAGTAAGATATTTAATGTTGGTAGCACTATTTTGACCTGGCTTTTATTTTTAAAAATGCCCTTGATTTGCTAGGCTTTTTTTCTGTACAGATTTATTTTCATTTTCTGGAACCAGTATCTCTTTACTCATTCTTGATGAGTAAATACCAGCAAAAAATAGAAACTAGCTCAAAGAAAATTCTACTTCTATCCTACAGAATGACTCTTTGATCTGATTTGTATTTGTCTCTTTTTTTCCCAGGCAAATAACTTAGTGATTCATACTGCAGTGAAGGATTTTATGAAAAACAGCAAACAAAGTACTGTTGGGACAGGAGAAGGCCATCAAGAAAAAACTCTAGGGACACTTCCACATATCATTATATCTTGCATTGAACATGATTCAGTTCGTCTCCCTGTAGAGTACCTAGAGAAGGAACAGAAAGCTGGTGAGCAATTGACATTTTGTAGCTAGGGTCTTCAACCTTTTTGGTGAGCACATTTGAAATGAGCTTTTCACAAAATGCCTGCTGTTGTGGGCATGGCCATTCACAAAGCATAAATTTAGTAGAACACAAACTGATGAGACTTGTTATCTCACCTATAGTCTCAGGATGCTGTCTGCTATCCCCAGCTTACCTTTGTTGTTTTTTTCTGGGTGGATGAGTTTTCAAAACAAGTACACAGCTGCAACCGTCCACTATTCTTTGTTTTTAAAAATATTCATGGAATCTTGCAGATTTGATTGTGCTGTACCTCTCTTCCTCATAGTTCAGTGAATTAGGGAGGTGTCTCTGTGAGCTGCTTCCAAATGTTATCTGGCTGTTCTGGACTTAAAAAATACTTCAGCCCTTTTTGCCTAGGCAACAGTTCCTGCATATCTCCGTCAAGGCCATCTTCCTTACTCTCTGGAGGTGAAATGCATGAATTTCATTCAGACATCTAGCTTTAATCACTGGCTGTAGAGGAGAATGGTGATAAACTTGAAGAAGGAATGCAGAAAAGATTAAACAGCCTGTCCCAGGAAGAATAGGGGAAGAAACTCAAGATAACCTGCTTTGATACTCTTTGGTATAAGAGAGGTCAGAGGGAAACTCTATCAGGCTTTCAAGATTCTGTTATTATACCCTATAATTATAGTTCCTGTAATTTTTGTGGGTCTGTTTCCTGACTTGGGCTACCTCAGAAAGGTTGATATTGTATTATCATCATCATTATTATTAGATTAGATTATTATTAGATTTTTATCCTGCCTTTCTTTGATTGTATGAAATTATGGAAGGAATTGGTTACAAACTCAAGAGTATTCTTAACTCAAACTTTTATAAAATAAAGAAACTAAATTATACCCAGCTTTCAAGCAGCTGTTGAATTCCTGAGGAGTTCATTTTGGCCCTTAAATGCTGTCTTTAAACCTGTATCTTTTCAAGTTCCCTCATGACTGCTATATCTTGAAATCACTGTTGGTGAGCAGTGTGGCTGGCACTTACCTGATATACCCTGTGATACCCTTCAAGCCTGTTGTCAGAAAAAACAGTAGCTGCTTTTGAACAAATTGAACTGTGGGATGACTTTCTTCTTTCTATCCTGGTTTGTAGAAGCCACTTTTGTCCCAGTATCGAAGGTGACCAGACGAGTGGAAGTAGATGATGTTATTGCAGCAATCCATCCAACTACATGTTTAGTTTCTGTAATGCTAGCAAATAATGAAACTGGGGTTGTGATGGTGAGTTGTACATTTAGTTCTTACAGCTCATAAATTGAAGGAAAATAGTTCTTTACGCTTTGTAGAGATTACTCCAGATGTTAGCAAGGACTGGCATGTATTCTCATAAAGCATTATTTATTATTGTATTCATTCAGGTGGCCTTCAGTCACTTACTGATGAATTGAAAATGACACATGAGTGTGACTGTGAGTTTTTCTTCAATTGATGTATATTCCACGGGTCATACAATATCTAGAATGATGTTCAGATGACTAATAAATGTCTCTAGAGCCACCAGGAACCTGTTCGTTCATGTATGAGAACATAATGAACTCTAATGTATTTATCTTTCAGTAGCCTGATGGACAAACTTTGTCTGGCCTACAGTATTTTATAGATTTACCTCATGTTTTCAACTAGAGATAAAGAATAGGTGCTGACACTTCAAATTTTACAAAATTGTGAAATTTTCTTTTAAAGTTATTTTTAAAAGAAATAACTGTATAAATTATTTAATTTATTAATAATTTAATTATTATAAATTATTTAATTATATGTATGTGCATAACAATATCATTTCATTGTTTCCCCAAAATATTTTTTCTGGAGTTATTTCTGATCTCCCTTTTCCTAAAGTAATATGAAAGATGTGTCAAAACAGTTTCTTCAGGGTGGCTACTCTTAACATCGAATATCTTTAAATGTCTTAATTTTTTGTTATTTATGCTAATGTTCTTGCTCTCTTTTCTACTTCCATTTTTACAACAATGACTTTCTTTTTGCCAGCATTGGGTTATTAGATTTTTGTTTATTGCTAGATATGTATGCAACATATTTTTAGACCTAGTTTTTTATTATAATATTTACTAAATAAGTAGAACAAGATCAATGTTAAGTTGCTAGATAGATTTAGTTATGCTAATCCTACTATGGGGCAGGCAAATGTAACAATAGATTTATGACTGGAGAAAGAGAAAGGTGGTAATACTAATATAACAATAAGCCTTTTACTGATAGCCTATTCTTCTATTAAGAGAGACTAAAATTATATATAGAGCATATTATTTGATGTTACCAATGCAACATCTTTTCTATTTCAGTAGCTCCAAAAATGAATTACTAAATGCTGATGGGGAGGGAGAGGTAATATTTCTGATAAAATGAGATCTCCTGACACCTGACAGGATGCTTTTTCTCTCAGCCCATCTCAGAACTCAGTCAGCAGATTGAAGTTATCAACCAGAAGAGAAAGGCCTCTGGTCTGCCACGGATCTTAGTACACACAGATGCAGCCCAGATGATTGGGAAGGGCCGAGTGGACGTGCAGGACTTGGGAGTAGATTACCTCACTATTGTAGGGCACAAGGTATATCTTTCCTCTGTTTGGGCTACCATTTCCTTGCTGTGACCTCTTTTGAACTTAGGATAATTTCATACACAAGAACAGCATTCTCAATTACTAAATTAGAAGCTATTGTGCTTCTAATTTGGTTTGCTCATTTCTGGAAACTGTATTCTCTTACAGATCTCATGTGACATGCTGTTGGAAAGTCTTTTGTTGGATATCTGTACAGTAAACTCTGCCCTGAATAATCTTAGTACACATGTTGGTGGCACAGAATATAAAGTAGTGAAATAACAGCAATAGAGATTTTAATGATCCCACATCTCTGGGGAGGCATACTCTGCTAAGTGTGATGCTTCTAGGAAATTCCTGGTAACTTTTTTTTTCAAAGAGAAAGGCACAAGTATCTGTTATCTTAGATTTGATACTAACCAATAGTAGTATCAAGAAGTGGAAGTTACAGGAACATTGGGGAAGTGACTATATAAACTGAGGTTCTTGATTTTAAGAAAACCAAAAGCTGAGTGTATGAATACGTATCTAGAGTTCAAGAAATTGATTTAATTACACTCTGAGCAATTGTAAGTAGGAATCCATGGCAAAAGAAGAAAATGAGAAAAGGGCTCAAGATAGATGAGAATGCCTTTTAAAAAGGCAGTACTATCTACAAATAATTCTAATGAAGAGGGGAGAAAACGGAAGAAACCAATGTGGCTGCACAAATAAAGAAAACATGTATAGGAGGTGGTCTGGCCAAAATTGTACGTATTGTCTTTGAGAAATTCTGCAGGATGGGTGAAATGCCAGATCACTGGAGGAGGGCAAATGTTCCTGTCTTCAGAAAGGTGAGAAAGGTTCCACATAACTTTTGGAATAAGCTTGGGAGATTATTGAGCAGATCATAAACTGATTAATCTGTAAGCAATATAAAACAGTCAGGATTTATCAGAAGTCAGAATGGGGTTGTCAAGAACATGTTTTACCAGAGTAACCTTTTCTATTTTTTTAAGTGAGGAACTTCATTAATAATTGTGAGAAAGCTATAGACATAATAAATCTTGATTTCAGGAAATCATTTGACAAACATTTTAGATTAGCAAGCTAGTTAAATTTGCACTTGATGGAATAGCAAGCGAATATACAGCTCAAAAATTGCACTTAGGAAGTGATTATTAATGATCCCTCACAAAGGCTGACATATCTATTAAGAGATAAGCCACAAGAACCAGTCCAGGGCCCAGAATTATTCATCAGTCATTTGTATGAAGAGGTACTGTATTTGCAGAATGCAGACAATTGGTTGGGATAGCTAATACCTAGAAGTCAGAAATAAAAATTGTAATAATCTTGATAGGTTAGCAAAGAGGGGAAATTTATCTTGGTAATAGTAACAATTAGCTAGATATATATCCCTCCATTCCTTCAGAAGCTCAAGTTAGCATACATAATACTCTCTTCTACCCTGTGAGGTAGGTTGGACTGACTAAGCTTCCATGGATGAGGATGGACTTGAACCTAGGTCTCACTGGAGCCAATCCAACACTTTAACCACTACATTATACTGGCTCAAACAGTACTTGTGAGAAAGGTTTTGGAATAGTATTGGGCAAAGTGTTATGGCCAGGAAAAAAACAAATCCAATTGTAGCTTGTATTAACAATGTACAGTTTTCAAATTATCAATGGCAATACTTTAAATTTTTTTCAGTATTGGTCAGACTCCACCTTAAGTATTTTATTCACAACTGGGCACCATGCCTTAAGGGGGATTCAGAGCAGAAATTATTAGAAACTTAAGGCCAGTTAGGAGAGATTGAAGGAAGTAGAATCGTTTAGTCCCAAGAAAAGATAACTGAGATGGATATGGTAGCACTCTTTAGTTATTTGAAAAGATGTCGTACAGAAGAAATTATGGTTTAAGTTACAGAGAATTAAACTTCTTTTGAAAGTTAGAAAAAACTTCCTAGCAATAGAGTTTGATGGTAGAAGCAATTACCCAGAGCGGTAATTGGCTCCCCTACATTGGATTATTCAAGCAGAGACTGAACAGCCATCCACCATGGAGCCTTTTAATTTGAATTCCTGCATGGAATAGACAGTCCAGTCCAGTGCCAAAATGGCTTCTTCCAACTCTGTAATTCTGTGATGAGAATCATTCTTTTGGCTTTAATAGTACTTCAGAGGATTTAATTGGTCCTTTAAGGATTCTCCAGTAGATGGTCTTCCAGGAATAATTTTTAAATGAAATCAAATTTTTCCACTGAATTTCACGGCTCTTCCATATGGAAGCATTAGCATGCTTTCCTCCACTCCATAAAATTTCTGTAAGTTTTCCTTTTTCCTGTTACATTCCCCACTTAATTCTTATAGGAGGACAAAATTATAAAGTTGGAAGAAATCTTCATGACATCTAGTCCAGTACCGTTGCTTAGTAGAGGATCTGCAATGCAGACTTCTTCTCTGGCAAATGGTGGCCCTCTCTTTGCTTAAATGCCTCTGCCAACTATCTGCTGAGGAAGTCAGGAACATTTATCTGCATAGTTAACTATAATCTGTCTGCCTTCTGTTTCTATATATTGCTCTTACTGTTATGATTTATAATTGCAGTTTTATGCCCCACGTATTGGAGCCTTGTATGTGCGAGGACTTGGTGTGAAGACTCCTCTTCACCCCATGCTGTTTGGAGGAGGGCAGGAATGGAGCTTTCGCCCAGGGTATGGTGAACAGGAGCACTGGATGAACCAACTGAATTGTTAAGAGACCAACCAAATGTATTGTGACACTATGGCAGGATGTGCAACTTTCTTTGATTCTAGAGCATGTAGGCATGCTTGATGACATGTTAAGGACTGTAATCTAAAAAAGGGTAGCGGAGCAGAAACCAATGTGAGCAGGAATGGTATATTTTTATTTTATTTGTATTTATTTTTATTTAACAAGTGAAACTAATAAGTAAAAGTAAATAAAAAATACCCCTTTGAGTCCTGCTGTGCTGCCTCATTGCAACAGAGAGGGTGTTCCTAGAAGAGGTATGTGAAGCAGTGTATGCCAAGAACAGATATTCCCAGTAGAGTCACCCAAGTTACGAAGGTCATCCTAGCTGCCCAGCTAAAGCAAACAGGCACTTATGTTGGGCAGCAACAATGTAGGTGGATGCTGGAGGCAGATGATCATTTTATTGACAACTGCAAAGGCATCACTTTATACTGCATGGGAGAAAGCAATAGTAAAAAAATTCTTGTATTTTATCACAAAAACCGCATGGAAAGACAATGTAAAGAAATTTACAATATAGTGTCAGATGATGGAGACCTCGCTTGCTATGTAGCCTGCAGTTCCACAGGTATGGCACTTTGAAGGTGATTCAGAGATGTGTACTTTAGTGGTGCAAGACTTGGCTAGCTGTCCTGGGGCTCCATAGAATAAACATAAACCTAGGTCTTCTATGTTTCTCAAAGACAGGAGTTTCTTTACTGCTCCTATTTGTATGGGTTCTCCAGCACAGGAGTCTGAGGAGGCCACAGGGAGGGGAGGTAGGGATAAGGAGATGCTGTAAAACCTCTTCCTCTTACTATTTCCTCTGTGCCTCAACTCTTCCAAATACTAATAGTTGAACAGCTCTTTCAAATTCTCTGGGTTGCCTCATCTCAGCAAGTCCGGCTCAAAATTGGTCAGAGCCAGATCATTCCATATTTCTGGCAATTTAAAATCTGGTATGAATTCATGAGCTGTACAGTTACCATTTCTGCAAATCTCTCCTTCCTCTTCCTATTTTCCCCACAACAACAACCCTGTGAGGTGAGTTGGGCTGAAAGAGAGTGACTGGCCCAAAGTCACCCAGCCAGCTTTCTTGCCTAAGGCAGGACCAAAACTCAGTCTCCTGGTTTCTAGTCTGATGCCTTAACCACTAGATCAAACTGGCTCTCTTTGTTTGTTTGCTGTTTGTTTGTTTGTTTGTTTGTTTTTGTTGCTTTGATTTTGATTTGTTGCTCTTCTAGCTTCATCATCAAATGCAGCTCTAAATCTTTGCATGAAATTTTGGTAATTGTCCAGTAATGAATCATTGTCTTCAATGAGGGGCATAGCCCATTTGACTGTTCTTCCTTTTGGCAGACTTAAAACAAAAGTCACTTTGATGCTATCTGTAGCAAAGTCTGCTGTCTAAGCACTATAAATAATTCACAATGAGTCATGAAAGTCAGAAATTGATCCTGGACTCCTCTGAATTTCTCTGTCAAATTCCCATGTGAGTACAGAAATATTGGTTGTGCTGCCAGTTACTGTACAACTCCTGGCTAAGGCAAGCCTTCTCCCACATGCTGTGTCAGTTATACCATGGCATTGTGCAAATTTGTCATTTGTAAATCCACTTAAGAGGCAAGAAGCAGTATTTCAACAACTTCTTTAGAGACATTGAAGATAGAAGGAGACAACAGAAAAACAATGTCTTCCAAAAGATCTTTAAACTCAGAAGGAGGTTCCAAATTTGAATTGGTATGCTAAAGGATATCAATGGACTTTGAAGAAGCAGGATAGAAAGAGTATCGATGCTTTCAAACTCTGGTGTTGGAGAAGATCTCTAAGAATACCATGGATAGCCAAGAAAACAAACCAATGGATTAATGAACAAATCAACAGAGAGGGACAAATGACCAGACTGAAATTATCCTACTTCAGACACATTATGAAAAGACCTAGCTCTCTGAAAAGGCTCTAATGCTAAGAAAGGTGGAAGGAAAGAGAAGAATAGGACAATCAGCAGCAATGTGAATAGACTCAGTTACAGTGGCAATGGATGCACTGTTGGAATACCTGAAAGACCAGGTTAGGGACAGATTGTCATGGAAAAAATCTATGTGGTCACTAAGTCAACACTGATTTGATGGTACATATAAATCTAGTATTAGAAGATGAAGTTAAATAAACAAGTCATTGCAAAGTTGGGAGGCTAGGCTACAGGAATTGATGGAATATATACAGAAATATGGCAAACAACAGAAGAAGAATCAGTAAAGATTTGAACCAAAGTCTGCCAGCAAATCTGGAGCACAACACAATGGCCAACCATTTGGAAGAGGTCAGCCTACATACCAGTACCAATTGATAGGGTTTGCAAACTATTGTATGATATCCTTAATTTCGCATGCTAGCAAAATAATGCTTAGGATAATGTAACACAGATTAGAGTCCTACATGGAGATACAGATGCAGATGTTAAAGCTGGTTTTATAAAAGGACAAGGAACGAGACATTATTTCTGATGCATGATGGATAATTGAGAAAGCCAAAGAATACACCAAAAGAGTCAATATGTGTTTCACAAAGATCAAAAAATCTTTGATCATGTTGACCATGGAATGTCCTTAGAAAAATGGGAATCCCAAAACATATCTTTAACCTCCTACAAAATCTATACAAGAACAGGAAGCCACAATCCGGATGGGATATGGCAAAATAGACTGGCTGCAGGTTGGCAAAGGAGTGACACTAGGCTGTATGCTGAATATATATTAAAGAGGCTGGATTGGAAGAAGATGAGTGTGGTTTTAAACTTGCAGGAAGAAACATGATCTACACTCTGCTGATGAGACTGTTTGGATAGCTGAACCTACAAAGGTTCTGCAAGCTCTAGTAATTAAAATCAAGAGCACAATGAAAAAAATGGGCCTAAGATTAAATATAAAGTAGACCCAGCTAATGACAACAGGCACAGCAACCAGCCTTAAAATTAACAATGAAGATACTGAAGTGGTAGGTAGCTTGTTCTTTCTAGGATTGACTCTTGACAATAAAGGAACTAGCAGTCAAGAAATACACCAGAGACTAGCACTTAGAAAAGGTAGCAATGAAGACCTTGGGAAGGATATTAAGATACTATGACATATCTATATAAAGATCAGAAAGGAATGGTTTTCTTTGTGACATTCTATAGAATGAAAATTAGACTGAGAAGAAGCAGGATAGAAAGATTATTGATGCTTTTGAACTTTGGTGTTGGAGAAGATTCCTGAGAATACCATGGATAGTCAAGAAAACAAACCAATGGATCTTAGGACAAATCAATCCAGAATTCTCACTTGAGGCACAATAATCAGGCTGAAAGTAGCATATTTTGGACACATTATCCAAAGACCTAGCTGTGTTGAGAGGTCTATAATTCTAGGAAAGGTAGAAAGAAAAAAAGGGGGAAAGGACTAGCAGTAAGCTGGATGGACTCAGTTACAATGGTGATGAGTGCACTATGGGAAGACCTGAAAGGCCAAGTTGGGGAGACATTATTTTGGAGAAGGTCTATCTATATGGTCACCAAGAGTCGACACCAACACGATGGCACAGAATCAATTAAAAAGTAATCACTAAAAATTTAAATTTTATTTGCGTAAACACGTGTGTGTGTGTGTGTGTGTCTATGTATACACATACACAAAATAGCTAATAGTTTCTCCAGTATATACACAAAAACACCTCTCCATATACCTCTGAATCAAAAGGTATGGGGAATTAAATAGATGGACCCTTATCTATTTCAGTGCTGTGCTCCTCAATGCCAATTGTCTGATTTTATATTAAATTGCAGAAAATTGAAATGTAAGCAAAATAAGAGTGGGGAGGATAAACAGTACAGGAGGGAGCAGGCTATGTTGAAAGTAGCAGAAATGGGTGAGGGAAGGGAAAAGCATAGGATAAGGATTGCAAGAGAAGAGCATCAAATGGATTGAGATGGCAGAAGGTTGAGGGTAACTGGATGGAGGCAGCAGTGGTGGAAATACAACTGAGAAGGAAAATGAGTAAAGATCACAGGAAAGGATGGGCGTTATCTAGGTAGGTAGGAAGCAGATATGGCAATCAAGTAGGTTAAAGTCACAGAAGAGAAGCAGCAAGTAGAAAAGATGATGGAGGCAGCAGTGAGCACAGTAGAGGGGAGACCAGAGGGTGAGGAATCAGGAAGTGCAATAGAGAACAGACTCTGGTGAAGAGCTGAGGTCAATGTTGGTGGCTGGGAAACAGGTTTGAGGAGGAGCCAAGCCACACATTTTGCACTCCTATGCTATAGTGAGTAGTATGTAGGTTTTAAGAATAGGCAAGAAAAAGCACTAAAAGGAGTACTGTCATATTTGGAAGAAAAATGCATATATAAGCTAGAAAAAAAGGAGAGGGTCTTCTGTTTTATAGGTAGTATTTTGGTTTTCATCAGATCCTTTTATTTACTTCATACACTAATACTGGTTGTCATTGCAGTGAAATATTTTAATACCTTTGTTATGCTAAGTGTGTATGTAGTATGTTAAACAAATAGTTCACACAGGTGTAGAGTTTGTATTTGTGCAACTTTAACTGTGAATAAACACTACAATTCTTTTCTTTCTTTTTTTTTAGGACTGAGAATACTCCAATGATTGCTGGCCTTGGCAAGGTAGGCTTAAGAATGGTAAAGGCTAAATAATACAAGTATGTAGTGTATTATGTATGCAAAAGTATGCACTGTTCAATAAGACAGATGCTGTCTTATTGAACAGTGTGTAGTTACTGCTTAATTAAAAAAAGGAAATAGATATCAGCAAACAGTTTTAAATGTAGCATTGTTGCTGCAAATGCATACAGCTGAAGCAAGATAACTATCCAGATTCTCTGGGATTTCTTTGCATGGGCTTAGCAGTGCCAAAACTCTTTAGTTTCTAGACTCTTGAGCCAAGTGTTCATAATCTTTTCTGTATTTCCACTCAGATCCAAAGTTCTATATCTGCATAACTTTCAGGGTAGTTTAACATATAGTGGGACACTGATAGGAGATAATGTTGCAAGCAGATGCTTTATGGCAATCTCAGCAAACATTTTAGCATCTTGAAGTTTTTAGTCTCTGTACTATGTAAGTAGCAAGTAGAACATCAAGTTGGTCTATAAACAAATGCCTGGCGGTGAAGTGCAGGGAACTAACAGCTCAATATGCATGTGCTGTTTAGAGCCTATAGATGGGTGTCCACAAGAACCAGTGCTTTTCTCATTTGCCCCTTTTGATAGGCCCCCAGGTGAATGGCTCTGATTGTTGAACATAGGTACTGCAAAATAGACTCTGCATGCTTTGAAAATAATTTGCAAAAATCTTGGACCTACCTGTTATTCATTAAAAAATGCCTATCATTTTTTAGACTTTGGAGCAACTTTGAAAATAAGTTGCAGGTTTTTCCTTTTATTTCTGAAGCATGTACAGCCATACTGCAGAATATACCAATTTAGGTATTGGGTTTTGTTTAGTAGATTGGGAAATTTGGGGGATCCTGTGGAGGGAGACTTCATGCTAAATTCCACCATGTTGACTTTTTGTCCACCCTGGCTAATGAAAATAAGCATTATATGGTCAGGTGTACAAGGGAATTGAATGATTCCGTTCAAATTGGCTGCTAATATTTAACCTGGTATTCTCACCTTCCTTTGCAGGCAGCTGAATTGGTGAATGAGAAGTCTGAGCTATATGAAGCTCACATGAGGAAAGTTCGGGATTACCTGGAGGAAAGGCTTGAAGTAATTTCAGTCATCTACCTGTTTTCTGTATAGCTCTGCAGTCTTTATTTGGGAGAGAGAGATAATATTAGAAAACTATATTACCCTGCTAAACACAGTCATGGGGCAGTGATGCCTTTCAGTTCAAATTGAAGCAGGGCAAAGGGCAAGAGTGTTGAAAATAGAAGCAAATGAACAGAAATGTCACAGGGAACACACTGGCTCAGACTACAGATGCATGTATCATGTCTGGATTAATCCCAATGAATATTGCAACGCTGCCATTTTTTGTAATGGAATAGGATTGGAACCTTTTGGAATTGCCTTTCTTGGGGTTATTGCTAAGAGAGTGGTTACAGATGCCCTACTTTGACTTCCCAGAGCAAAGTAGACATAACACAAGACCTTTAGATTTTCTTCCCACACCTGTGAGCAAGGTGTTAGCTAATCCTGTGAGTTCTTCTGTCACAGGTGCAATACTACCCTGAAATGCCTTTATGTATCTAAAATTATAAGATGCTTTTATTTTTTTTCCTTCCTCGATTCAATAACGCCTGTGTGTGTGTGTATTAAGCTGACATTTTATTAAAAGCGTTACTTCCTATTCTAGATTGTATTTGGAAGACAAAATATCCATTTTAACTGTCGAGTGGAAGACTCTAAACGACTTTGCAACACCTGTAATTTTTCCATATTGGGCTCAGGTCTACAAGGTAACTTCTATGTTTATATTTGCACTGTTCTTTAAGAGCTAGTCCATGATTGATTTATGGGATTTTGCATATAAATGGAACCAATTAGTGGCCAATACAAAATTTAGTGTTAATTGCTTTTAAAACTAATCTCCCTGCCTTAAACCAAATCAAGATGTTATCAGTGTGAAATGAGGTGCCAGTTACATGCTATTACGTATTTAACCAAATTTGCATTGTAATTTCATAAAGAAAATACCAATTACAGATGCAAGGTACATTTTTTTAAAAAATAATTTTTTTAAATTCCCTCTCTTGTACTTTTAAAATGAATTTGGTAATTAGTTAGAAGGCAATCTGATATTTTGTCCATGAAGCATTACTTGAAATGCATCTTTTCCATGTTCTAATTTGGTTGTAACAAATTATATGTGTGGACCTGACATTATTGTTTTGTTTTAAAATTCATGAGAAGCCAATCCTAGCAAAGCATGAGCAAGGATTGATTTTTAAAATTATATCTTAGTTATATTTGACAACACAGGCGAAATTACAAGCAAGTTCTATGTGTTTCTTCTGTGCTTAGATCTATAGGTACTTCATGAGAAGAGAGCAGATATATATCTTGTTTTTTCTGTAGGTTGGCTGGTGCTTTCACACTGTAGGACTTTGCTTGCCAGTGTTGGTGCAGCCTGCCACTCTGAAAAGGGTGACCAGTAAGTAGCCAGTGTTGTAGAACCAGGTATTCTGTAGCTGGAGGGCATAGTTCCAGCTAATGTAAGGAAGTGTGTGTGTATGTATGTGTTTGTATGGGTGTGTGTGTGTATGAAGGCTTGCAAAGAATTAACCACTTAGAGTCACCACAGCTGTCAGTCTCTCACATTACCCAAGAATTATGGCAAGTGGCAGTGGTAATGTCATATCTGCTGCGAACATTATTAACCATGTTTCTTATGATCTTATCCATGATACTGTTGGAAAATTTCATGAGCCTTCACAACTCACATTTCATTACCTTCACAACTCACATTATGTTGCCTGTTTTGCCTTAACAAACAAGCTAGGCCTGGTTAGGGTATTAGTGTTTCTGCTAACTAACTGACAGTGGCCTATGTTTCTTAACAATTAGTAATGGCATGTGACAAAAATATTACGATAAGTGATTACAGCCCTTACATCTTTGTAATTGCCCCCTCCCCCACTGATTTATAAAATTAACCCAGAAATAACACCATTCACAGTCCATTATTCTAACTATGCAGTAGGGAAAAATGTTAGATGACTTATATAATTGTGCTCCTCTTTGGTTCTGCTACCAGTTAAAGCTCTATATATTATTCCTCCTATCTTTGAGGAGCAACTGGGCCTTTAAGAGTGAGATAGGGAGAGGGAGAGATTATGCAGCCTTGGTAGAAGTAGGAGAAGAATTTGCTGTTCAGAAGCTAAGAGTGTTTTGATTCAGGTACCAATGCCATTATGAAAGCTGATTAGTCTTAAATCTCAAAAAAAGATTTATGTCTTTATTCTTAGTGATGAGCACATGTTTTGCATCTCTGCATAAGGAAATGTTTTCACATACCATGTTTTCCCAAATCCCCAGAGCCTGCTCTTTTTGGAGCAATGGCCTGTATAATTCACAGAGTATGAGGTACAGTGGTACCTCAGGTTACGAATTTAATCCGTTCTGTGACTCTGGTCGCAACCCGATTTGTTCACAACCCGAAGCAAATTTCCCCATAAGGTTCAATGTAATTACCGTTAATCCATTCCGGCGTCCGCGAACCATGCGTCAAGGGCAGAAAAACGGCCGCGGACCACGCGGCAGGGCGGAAAAACGGCCGTGGACCGTGCGGCAGGGCAGAAAAACGGCCGCGGGCCACGTGGCACGGGCGGAAAACCGGCCGCGGACCATGTGGCACGGGCGGAAAATGGCCGCGGACCACGTGGCACGGCGGAAAATGGCCGCGGACCACGTGGCACGGCGGAAAATGGCCGCGGACCACGTGGCACGGCGGAAAATGGCCGCGGACCACGTGGCACGGCGGAAAATGGCCGCGGACCACGTGGCACGGCGGAAAATGGCCGCGGACCACGTGGCACGGCGGAAAATGGCCGCGGACCACGTGGCACGGCGGAAAATGGCCGCGGACCACGTGGCACGGCGGAAAATGGCCGCGGACCACGTGGCACGGCGGAAAATGGCCGCGGACCACGTGGCACGGCGGAAAATGGCCGCGGACCACGTGGCACGGCGGAAAATGGCCGCGGACCACGTGGCACGGCGGAAAATGGCCGCGGACCACGTGGCACGGCGGAAAATGGCCGCGGACCACGTGGCACGGCGGAAAATGGCCGCGGATCCGGTTCGTACCCCGAGGCGGAGTTCGCGAACTGATGTAAATTTTTGTGGCCGGAGCTGGTCACAACCCGAAAAGTTCGTAAGCAGAGGCGTTCGTAACCCGAGGTACCACTGTATATTGTAAAGTGCTTTTGTTCTGACTAGATAGGGAAATGTAATATGATGTATCAAGTATCAAGAAGTAACTTGCTCCCCCCAGTTGTGTGCTATGTATTTCAGATACCACAGAGAGTAGTATAAAAATAAGCACCTTGCATCTTTCTTTTGAAAAGTGCTTAAGATCGTACACTGTCTTTGACATCTGTAGAATAGTTTTTAAATGTTGCCATATGTATTTTGGAATGTAAATAAGGTTAGTTACATAATACTGGAGACATCTTTTCAGCTTTGCTGCCATCCATGATACTTGAATGCATAATTCTGGTTTATTCTTGATTTGTTTTTCTCTGCCTCACCAATCAGTTAATATAGCATAGTCACTAAATATGATCAATTCTGAAATTATCTGTTCTTGTAGTTAAAAAGGTTATGTTTTTTAATTTTTGATATAGTTAAGGTTCTTCTGAATCTTTTAATATTGCCTTCTCAGCTGCGTGTTCTATTTTGGCTATGTAAGGATTTGAAGATTAAATTTGCTATTAGTATATGCAGTAACATACTGTATTAAAAATCCACAGCCTTTCATCACAGTTGGTTCCATAATTCATTGTATTGTGTATAATAACTCTTTATCAGTTTTAAAGTGCTAACAATAAATAAAAATTCCACTCTCTCCACACTTAAAAGCTGTTATATACCTTTAACATTTAGGCTGTAATCTATAATATATTTATTATGGAGCATTTATCTGATTAACAGAGACTTCAGAATTACTGAATTGTGTGGTGTGGTTTAATTGTCTTTCATCCTTTTGAAATCTGGAAGGCTGTAGACTTCAACATGCATACTTGATCAGCTAATTTCTATTAAAATGAAAAAAGCTTAGAAATGTCTTTTGGACAGGAGTAGCTCTGCATAATTTGTTTCCTTTCTCTATATGTTTCTCAGATCCTCATGGTAAAAATACTGTTAAAGGTCACATTTTGCTTTAATTATGTCTGTTTTCCAGGCCCTCAGTTGTTTTGCTTAACTGTGGAATTCCTTATAATGTGGCACAGAATGCCTTACGCCTCAGTGTCGGCCGTGATACAAGCAAAGAAGATGTGGATCTGATTGTAGAAGATTTGAAACAGGCTGTGGCTGGGTTACAATAGGCTGGATACTTACAGTCAACAAAAAAGAAGATTCTGTTCATCAGTATCAGGAAGTGAGCTTATCTAGTCCTGATATTCCATTGCTCTGTGTGCCATACTCACATTTGACATATTGAGGGCTATTGTGTTTCCATCAGTACTTTGAGACAGGATTTTTGTTGAACATCCAGTAATGTGTTTTACAGGTCTTGAATACCTAGGATCACTGTCTGCATCTATGAGCACTGATTCCCCTCCCCCCCCAATTCAGCACCAGTAAATGCAATTGGTGAATTACACCTTTTAACAAGTTTTAGCAAGTAAAATGAAGGGCAAGGAAATATTTCCACTGGATATTTAGAATTGTTCCAAGCACAGAATGAATGTGAATATTTAGAAGATGTATGTGTGTATTTACAAACACATGCATATATGCCAGACCCAGGCATACAGATATGAATGGTCAAGTAAATCTCCAAATTTTAAACAATGAGGGATTTGCCTTGGAGATGTCTATGTTTACCAGAGAGATGCATACTAATAAATTGATCTACTCTAATAAATACATGTATGCATGTGTACTGGGAAAGAATGTATAATACAGCTATTATGTATAATACATCTGTTAAAATTAAATAGCAGAGAGAAAACCAGAATGCTTTCTTCAAGGCTACATAGAGACCTGCTTCTTTCCCTTTAACCTAGCCTTAAAGGGTTGTTTGCAGTTTTATGTAGCTAAATTTCCTGCCTTGAGTTGTACAAAATAAAGGTGGGATATAAATTAATAATCAATTAATTGAAGAATAAATTATGCTGATGGCAACACTAATGATAGGGGATCTGAATCAACAATTGTTGCTGTCCTTTTTTGCCCTGAATGGCAAGAGGACAGAATTACCCACAGTGGCAATTCCCTTTTGAGAGAAAGCAATTGCTGTGATAGATGCTGGCTTTTACTGTTGCTTTTTGTCATAAATCATAAAAAGTCATAAATATCATTGATAGGAGACCTATTCCCACTTGATAATTGTATTTTTTAAACAATGTTGTGTAGTGTAATAATTTTAGTGTAATTTTAGGTGAGGATAGTGTCTGAAGTTAGTCTAAAGGAGTAGAGAATGTACACATAAATCTATGAATGTACATCTGGGTCACAGAATGGGTATCCCACCCATTCCTAGCTTCATCCTCACCTGCCACATGACATCTATGTCATTCTGTTACCATTTAATTGCATCAGATGTTCACATCTTTGGAGCATCAGAAGCAGTTACTCTGTCCAAAGTATTCCCTCAGTTTTGTGCATCAGAAGACGGCTACTTGAGATAAAGAAGGGAGATGAAATCTTTATAGTTCCTTGAATAGACTCTCTTCAAATGGAAGAGTTGTTTGTTTTTCAATCTATCAAAATATTCTGATACCAAATACTTCAGAGGTTTTGTTTTGAGGAACAATTTTTGATAACTGCCCAGCTACTTATTGTGTTCCTGGGACCCAAACTGAATGTTTCCTCACATTTATATCTGTAAAAGATTATCTCTCACTGCTTGCTTCTAGTTTCTCATGAGTCAACTGACATAGGAGAACAGCTGATTAGTATGGATAGAGGAAAAATATATTATTGAGGAATCTTGAAGAACTGAGGAGCACTTCAGGATCGGTCCTGGACTCCAACAAAAGAGATAATTGCAGTTAGGAATATATAACTGTACATTTCCTTCAAAGATTTGAATTTCAGAACTATGCTGGAAGAGGTTTGAAGATAATAGTGGAATAAGGTCTGCTGTTTTTGTTTTTGTTTTGTTTTTGCTGCATCCACTGTAATTGATGTCTGCTAATAGTGATGAGTTAAAGAGGTAATGGTTGGTTTCCTAGTACTTGCTAAGGTTTGAATAGGAAATTCTCCAGTATAAGTCACTTCATAATATTATTTGTTTCACATGATAGCATGGCCTGTACTAACTGTCAAAATGGGTTATACTGTAAAACAGATGCAAATTTAAAAGTTGAAACACATGCATGTGTGCTCTGTAAAACATAAGCACAATGATATCTTAGCATGAAATACCATTACTTGGTTATTCACAAGAAAGGAAGATAAAACATACAAAGAAGTAGCCAATTCATGTATCTTACCTTATGTTTACTATAGTTTAGGGCTAAAATAAGCATTTTATTCTCATGCATCTTTAATCCTCACTTTTTGAGAGTTGGTCTTGCCCATCTCCTTTAACTATGGAGTTCTTAAACATAGCTAAGTTGATATTGCAGGAAGAATATTTGTTGAGCCTCTATCCAGTCATTGTGGGATCTGAGAGGAAGACAATTTATCAGGAATCTATCAAGTATTACCAGATCTCCCAGATTCCTTCAGTTCTTACCTATTCTCCTTGATTAGATTTTTCCAGTTATTAGAATTACTGCAGGAAGAGAGGAAATCAGTCATACAGTTTTCCTAGATTAGAACAAAGCACAATTTCCCTTATTTATTTAGTCAAATGGTTTACTTGAAGTTTCTCATTGGGACCACAAAACATTTATGATGTTGTGGCAATAAAGATTGTGCTTGTTAAGCTGTCCTTCCTCTTGGGCAGCCACTTGAGTGTTGCATTTAATGCTCCAGCTGAGTTATTCTGTGTTAGAACGCTATACTAATTAATAATTTGTGGTGAATAACAAACCTTGGAACCATACTTGTGGCATTCTGGCTATGCGGAAGGGGATGCTCCCCATAGAGAATGTCTTTGGTCAAAAATGGGGAAATTAGAACTACATTCATTGCATTACATTCATTCTGTTGATTTCTGCACTTAATAACAGTGGCGTTACCTTCATTTTCTGTACACATAACATATGAAAATGAATATACAGGCTAAAGAGAGAAAGCCTGCCTTCAAAACAATTTTATGTAATCCTCTAGTACACATATATCCAGTTGACTAGTGGTAAACTTTAATATTAAATGCCTAGTAATGATAGTTATATGCCTAATATATACTTCTAATACCTAGTAGCTGAAAAATAAAGTAGTCCCAGGATGTTAGATGTCCTGTTATGGTGTAACTCAGAAAAATTCCTTGCCAACACACCAACAAGGTCTGTATTTAAAGTTAGGAATAGTTGAAGGACTAAATGCTTAGACAAAATACATTATAAAGTTTGAAGATTTTTTATCAGGTTTTATACAGGAAAAATAATTTATAAATGGTTTGCACATTTAAATTTGCTGTATTTTTATGTTTATGTTTACATTTTTGTATGTAATAAGTATATTTGGTGAAAATAAAAAAAACAAAAGCAAATGAGATTTAGGTTTGAAATCAATGTTATCAATAAAAACAGGTTAATCTACAATGCAGGCATAGACTAAAACTAAATTAAATATTCTGATCTTTCAAACAGAAATGGCTCCTCTTTTATAAAAATGAACAGACTATGTTTTGGGGATAGTAATGCTAATATAGTGAATCAGATTGGAAGACTGGGAAAATATTTCCTACAGCAGAAAATGATACAGTTTTATTACCTTGTACAAGCCCTTGTGACCAAAACCATTATAAGTACCAGAAGAAGATATGTACAGTAGCTCAGGATTGAACTGTGAAGTTCCTTGATTAATCTCTTGTTTACTGCTTGAAGCAGTACTGCCAAGGAGAGAAAAACACCCCCACCAACACTGACAAGGCCAGCTGCTCTATATAAACAGACAGGAAACCCCACTCTGTTCTAGCACTGAAGAGGATACCTAGTTGGGTAAGGAAACATCTGCAAGAAAACAACCACGCTCAGAGAACATCAAGGACTCCACCATCATGAGTGGCAGAGGTCAGTATTATGGGCCCATGTGATAATGGCCATAGCACATGACAGATCGTAGCTTTGTAAAAAGAATGGAATAAGAATGGGTGAAATGAAAACAAAATAGATATTGCATGTCTCCAAAACTAAGAGTGGTAGGATATAATATAACTGAATAAGTCTGAACTTAGGGACTACAGCTGAGTTAATTAAAGAGCTAAAATGTATCTTGTACAGTGTGGCTTGGTGTCATCAAAGTTGTATATAATCTGTAGATTGCGATAGTTCCATGTTACACCCCAGTGAATGATGATAATGAAATAATGAGAGATATGTTTGGGGGAAATGTGCCACAATCTGAATGAATGCAGTCCAGGAAAAAACTGTTTAGTTAGGTGACATGAATGGATGGGTAGAATGAGGCAAGAGAATATCCCCAAACAAGTAATGATGTCATTTAGAGACCAATTAATTAATGATAATGGTGGTTATTTGGTGAGTATTTGCTTAGAGAAATATTATTTCTCTATTTCAGGTATGTGGCTTAAACATCTACTCACACGCATACATGGAGGAGGAATTAATATAAATCTAACAATATATTTGTTTGCTTATGATGAAAGATTAGAGAATCTGTAAAGAATACAAAGGTGATCAGAAGTTTTGAATGTTGGATAGATAATTTTTAGTAGTGTCAGGAGTTAGTCTTGGAGGAAAAAATGGACATGTATGAAAAGAAAAGCAACTAGGTAAAATTTGAAAGAATATAGGAAGAGAAAGTGCTATGTTAAAAAGCATTCAAAAATCAATCTCTCAACAGAATGAATGGAAAGTAGGTGTAAGGAAAGAAGATATGAAAGCTGCTTGGAACAGAAAATTACATTACTAGAGTGCCACAGCAGAGTATGGGATTATTCAAACTAGAAACTACATGATGAATTGAAAATGTTTGAATTCTCAAATGTTTTGGACAGTTGTGAAGTTGGTTGCAGTATGTGATAAGGGAGGGCTATATAGCTGTAAAGCATATGTGAGAGTAAATAGAATGCATAGAAATGGTTCACTGAGTAGGGAGCAAAACAAGAACGTATGATGTTTAGTACATTTATGGATAAATCTATAAGGAATGTTTGTGATGGTGGCACTGTGTTAGGGACAAAAACATATGTATAGTTTTGTATGTAGATGGTCCTGTGTTGTTGTCTTAAGAACTTGTATGTTTTCAGTAAAATTAGATAGATTGAATGACAGAGCAAAAAATTTGGAACTGGAAACTAATTATGAAGAACTAAGATGTTTGTGATAGAAAAACTGGAGTGATTGATTTTAAGTTAAACATAAATGGTAAAAATTAGAGCAAGAAGATGAATTTCTATACGTTGCTAGAATGTTTACTAAACAAGGGGAAATGGATGGAGAGTTATTCAGATATGCAAATGTTGATAGAGTATACTGTATGGTCTGTCATGAGGAATGAATATTGAAAAGGATGAAAATGTTTGTATATAAGAGTGTGCTTCCACCAATTTTGTTTGCTTATTGAACTTGTATAGACTATTGTACTTTTACTTGAAGGTAAAATCCTTCCATCTCAAGTGACTGGGAAAATGATGAAAATATGGAATTGCACTTAAAGCAAATGGAGACATAAGAAGCTCAAAAAGAAAAGTAATAAAGTTTCTGCAGGGTTTTGTAGCCTATAACTGATGAATACACAAAACAGATAAAATTGCACTGTAAGTGCTACAGTTGAATTTTTGATATTTTATAAATTAGAGTATAAAATCTGCTTTACATTTGATCACATCACTAACACTTTAGGAGTCAATGTCATAAGAGAAAGGAGAGTTAAAGAATTGAAAACTCTTGCTAGGCCTGTGGCATTTCTTAAGCCCCCAACAGAAATTGGGGTTCCTGTCATCCTTTACCAAGTCACCGGAAACACATATCACCTGCTTTATATATAAAATAAAAAATTCAGAGAAAATAAGACTTTCCAAGAAAACCAGCAAGAAAGCTCCCATAGATGGGAAAGCAAAGTGCTGTTGCAGTAACTATCAAGGATGGAAACCAGCTGCTGATAGTAATCAGAATCAGGTAGTCCTCTGAATCAGGACTTAGTCCTTCATGCATCATAAGCAAGCAAGCAAGCAGGAGTTTCTCAGATCCCTGATGCTGCAAGCAAAGGTTCCTGGGAATCTCAAAACAAACAATGGGGCAACTCCAGCACATGATGCGCCATCCACCAGCAATTTGCTAAATTACAACAGCTGAAAAAGATGGAGGATATAGGGTGAAAGTAAGTTGATAAGAACTTTCTAAGCATACAGTATAGAAACAGGAGAAGAATTGAAAATTGTTTATAGCAATACCTAATTGCACCGCCTCTGTATCTGCTGCTCTTGGATTAGCCATGCATGCCAGCAATTCTTAGATTTGACTGCTATATGCATTTAACCCTTCTCATTGAAAAGATGCTCTGGCATTTAGCAGTTGTTCCTCATTATGATGGGTGGTATATTCCAAAATGGAATTGTGGATTTGAAAGTGGCCTGGTGTATCTAGTGCACCACTGTGGGGAGACAAACATTGCTGGATAAGTTAGTGCCAGAGGAAGTGAGCAATTTTTTTTCCTCGTCTGAAAAGGCAGCATATTACATATCCCTACAGGATTGAATAGCAGCTGTTCAATTAGGACAAATATTAGGACATCACTAGAATGGTACAAAATGTTGTCTCCCAGCCATTCATTCACTTGCTAAATTATATCCCATCCTTCATTAATGTACAGATTTAACCATTTACATTGTGTGCTATGGACTAAATATCCATTAAGGTTAGTGAGAACTATTTACAGTTCCAAATAATCAAGCATAGCATTAGGCTGTATGCTGCAATCTTTTACATGTATATTTGAAAGTAAACTTTACTGAATGCTATTGAGCCCTCCAGTACACATACATGCATAGAGTAAAAGTGCATTGTCAGAATTCTGGGTATACTTTATGTAACAGTATGTGCTACTGTACTCAACGAAATTAAACATACGAAACTTTGAGCAGCAAAGTGTTTACATTTCCATTTCTTCCCTTACAGAAAGCTTAGCAACTTGTTGCAGTTGTCTAATTTGGGAGAAGCAGTTTTCATAAAATTGAGGGAAGTGTCTATGTGACACTTTGCATGGTTTTGGCAAGTAGAAAGAAGAACATTTAATCTTGAGATCATTTTACAACTTTGTCTCAATGTGGGCATCTCACCTTGCCACATTCCCAAGCTCTGTTCAAAAGGAGCAAGTCAGTTCTTTTCTCCACATAGTGAAAGAGAAGGAGCAATCACGCCCAGACCCTTCCACATGGAGAAAAGGCTATCTGTCTTCTGTGTAAAGACATTTAAAAGTGGCCACTCCCTGACAGCTTTTGCATATGGAAAAATGGAAGTACTAAAGTTTCTGAGGGGGAGCCTTGCTTAAAGCCCTATGGGCTCAGATGGGAAGACCTGGCAGGCTGTGCTATCTGTTGGTGTTAATGTCTAGAATTCCTCTGATTTCTTTCTCAGCCCTCTCACAATCTCTCACAGTTATTAACCAACAAAGATGCTAGGTTAAGATGGCTGCATATCCAGAATTAGAATACTGCAAACAAGAAAAGGGAATAAATAGGAAGTTCTAAGATTTGCAGAAATAAAACAAAACATAAGATGAAAAAAAGGAATGGAGGAAAAAACCAGTGAGGCCTGAGCTTTATCACTTGAAAAGGGGGAAAAGAAGACGAGAGGGTGGCAGCACTTTATTAGGCTTACAGTACTTGTTTCCCAATCTACCATTCTGCTCAAGCTGGGTTGTGACTGAAACCGAAGAGTCTTAACCTCCCTAGCCTTCATTCTGGGAGTCGCAATTCCAACTGTTCTGGAAAGAATCATATTAGGGAAGACTGTAAGATATGCCTCTGAGTTTTGCATGATGCCATCTGCCCTGGAGATCAGAGAGTGGTGTGGAGCCCATAAAATGGCTGCACTGTTTTTGAATGTCTGTGCTCTCCTGGTGATTGTACTGTATGGCTTTTAATTGTTTAATTGTTTTTCATGGTTGTATGGCTGTTTTATTTATTTATTTACTGGTACTGTTTATCCTTTAAATGTAAGCTACCCAGGGTCACAAATGTAAGACGAGCAGCTATATAAATTGAATAAATAAATAAATAAAATTCCCAACAGCAGCCAAACACTTTCTGCTGCAGCTCCAAAATAAACTTACTTAGTCCCTTCTGCCTTTGCAGCTATTTTTAATTTTGAAATCAGAGTGGAAACATTTTAGCTACGTGCGTCCCTGACTGAGGGTAATAACTGGGCCGGCACGTTCAGGGCCTACCGTTAGCTCTTGCCCCACGCAAAATCCAGAGGGCTCTTGGATGGAAGCTTCAGGCAAGTACTTCACATTCTGTATGTTTCTGTGGCTGGCGCTCTTCTGTTGCAGGTAGGAAAGCTCAGCAAAGCATTGAAATGGCCACTGTGGTTAACTTGACATATTAGCTCTGCAATCCTAATCAAGCTCTTAGGTTTCACTGAACAAACAGAAAATCCTTGCCATCGCCTGAGATTTGGAATGAGGCCTTTTGAAACCAGAGCCTCTTATCACTCAGGTTCCCACTAAAATATGAATAGGGGAAAATAGAAACACTAAATTGCTTCATGGCAATTAACTGCTGCCCCACGTGTGGACCTGGGTACAAGGACACTGGGCTTCTGTATGAATCTTATAGCTTCCATTCTTGTGATTGTGGGGGGAAGGGAGGTGCACTATAATTGTGGTTTACAATTTGGTAATATATCAGAGTAATACTGAAACAGTGCATACCAGTTCTGCCTCCCTGAGTTTTTCAGCCCCTGCCCTCCAGCCCTGGAACATATCCAGTATTAGGATAACCAGCCCCAAATTGATGCTCTGCAGATGTGTTGTACATTAATTGTCATAATATCCCAACCAGCATGGCTAAAGTAGAAGTCCAGCACAGCTGGAGGACACCAGATTAAAAAAGACATTATTAGAGGATGCATCTAAATAATCAGGGGAAAAATAACCATCACCATTTTGTTGCTGTGAAATTTAAATACTATAAATTCTAAAGCTGTTCCCATTTTTCCAATTGCACAAATTAAAAAGGACCTGTTTGGAATCATCTACCTTTCTTCTTTCAATCCATATCAGAGAGCCTTAGCTACTACTGCAGTTTCTCTTTCCTCCAACCAACCCCAAAATCTGCTGATCAATCAGAATAAAAATAATTCTGTGCAGGGAATAATCAAACAAAAGCAAAAGGCCAAGAAGACAATGCATTAAAAAACTGTAGCACAATAGACACCAGAGCAGACCTTTGAGGGTATCAAGATGCCTTGTGATTACCAGTTGGAGATCACAACGATACATAAACGAACCTTAGGTTTATCAGTTCTTCTCTCCCCTTTCCTCCTCTGATGTGGCTTAAGTAACTCTGGTTTATGTTATGTCCATAACTAAGCAAACTGTTAAGTCTTGGCCTTACTGAGACATTCCCACCTCAGACCATAGGTTGTGAAGGGGATACTTGTCAATAAACTGTGTAGTTAAGGATTCATACCTAATGCTAAATGACTGTTATCTAAAAACCAAACTATCTTGATTTCCTTCTTGCAACTGTACCAAAAGAGTAGAAGGGCGAGGGGAGTGTATGAGCCAAGGTTTGTGAGCATTATGTTAAACCATAATTAACCCTTGTGTGCAAATGAAGATTGACCCACCTGTCATGGCTGAACTGGAAACTCTTTCGTAAGCACTAATCTCCTCTAGATTGTGAGCAATAATTTCATTCAAAATGAGACTGCTTCCATCACAAGTATCACTAAGTGTTCTTTCTGTCTAAATTTTCCAAATGCAAGGAGGTCAAGAATGTGTGCATTCATTTTAAACTCACTGTCAGAAAATATTCAGACAGTATAGTTCCTGCACTACAGGGTTATATAATCCTGTCAAGGACAAATTTAACTATGTAATTTGGCTGCTGATGTAGATCAGCTGCATGTCAAGAAGACACAGAGACGTGATCTCTCCAAATTAAGAGAAGGAGGATGCATGTTCAGTAACTACTGTCCTCTGTCATTTTGTTTCAACCATTTAATTGTGTGATGAAAAGACCTGCCAGGTAGAAAGTAGGGGGTAGAATGGGATAGGCTGTCCCGATGACAGAAGACAGCCTTCAACTGGCAGCTTAATTTGGCCTGTCTCTCAGCAATACATCGTTGGAGCTGATCGGGAATAAGTTATTTGACACTGGCACTATCACCCTGGCTGAGCAGTGGAAGGTTCCCTTCTCTTGCTTAGCTAATGAGGCAGTAGCAGAGGCATCTCAGTGCACTTGCCTCAGTGCATAAGGACATAATATCTCTGCCAGAGCAGTGTCCTAGTTGGCATTGTGAAAGAAGATTTCCAGAGGGCCTGTAGCCTACCCTTGAAGTTTTCTGCTGCTTGCTCTCCTTGCACTTTCTGTTTTTTTATCTGCATTCTATGAGTAGGGCAAGCACTTACAGCAACAAGGAGAAACAGCAATGGCTTCCACTCATTGGGCCCTCTTTGGGTTGAGCCTACAAGGGGAGGGCACTGATTTCAGTGTAAGTATCGAGGATGTGAGCCTAGGTGGGAACCAGCCCAAGTAATAACATTTTGCCAAAGGCAGGGATATATACATCAGACAATATCTAATCCATTCCACTTTTACTAGCACTCAACCCTAATTTCTTATCATGTTGTAATAATAGATAAATAATATGCCTTCCACATTATCCAGGTATTCTAGATTGGTTTGGTTAACTGAGACATGCTGATACTTTCAAGAGGGCCATGTATCTTGTCTGAGACTACAGAATTCATCAATATTTTATGAAGGAACACTGACCTTATTTTATCCGACATAGCACAGCTTGCCCTTACACATAGCAAAGTAGGACCCACTGACAGCCTAAACACTAGGTATAGCATGGTTATTTCAGCCAAAATTTGCATAGCTAAAACCACTTATGATTCTCAATATGATGCTTCTCAAAGCAGCCCTGGGTGATCTAACATTTCAAATGATATTGGTTAATCTTCCCATTGTCCTATTGGCTAAAATTCTAATTCCTGTACATCCAGAAATGCCACTTTGGGGAGAGCTGATGTAGGTTATTTTAGCTCAGAGGACCACATAGACTTCCAGTGCTACAGCAGT